ACAAACAGCGCTCTTTAAAAAAAAGAACAGACTTTGGTTGACAATAGAAGGGTAAGGTAGGTTACAGGGAATTTATTAGGTATAGCTTCGTTTTTAACTTAAACTGGTTGAGAGAGGTACAGTCTTTAACGTGGTTGGGAAGGTCATTCCACATTCTGGGCCCCTTGATTTGTAGAGCATTTCTAGTTTGATTAAGTCGTACTCTAGGAATATCAAAACTGTATTTATTTCTGGTGTGGTGCTCATGGGTTCTGTTACATCCTTCTATGAAGCTTTTGAGATCAGGATTGGCATTATAGTTTAGCGTTTTATATATGTATAATACACATGAGAGAATGTGCAGTGACTTAATGTCTAACATATTCAGAGATTTGAGTAGGGGTACCGAGGGGGTATCTTATGATAATGAGGTTTCAATGCTTGGAGTCAATAATCAAAGTGAGGCTTCACCACTGTAGCGAGTAAGCCTTATACTTGCTCCATTATCTCATCATCTTAATGGCATAACTAATTAGCACTAACTACACAAGCTATAATCCTATCCCTATTTACAGGTAACGGTTTCTGCCCTCCTATCTTATTGTGAGGTGTAGACACCGTATATAAGCAAGCGAGTCTAGCTTTGAGATCTCCCGTAGCAACCAGACCATTTGGTCACCACTTGGTCCGCATTCGGAGATGCCCGTGCCATCATCTTCATCTTAACACATTCATAAGGGAGACATCTCCCGTCCCACCTCCATAGATCACGCAGGGTGCAGTTGCGCCTCCACAGATCTCCAGTATCATCTTTTGATACTGGTAATGGCTCGAAAGGGCCACCACTTACGGGCTATTCATGCCCGTGCCACCTCTTGGGTGGCTTAATCTTCATCAATCAATCAATCGAATAGCAAACACCATTTGGTCACCACTTGGTCCGGGAGACATCTCCCGTCACGCGGGTGCTTCAAACTCAAACTTCATCTTGTACTACAGTACCCACTTCCCCAATATTAGTACTTAATACATATATCCTTACCAGTGTTATCATTGCTGTCAACTTATATTGTACTTATTTGTTGATATATATAACCATGCTACAATGTACCTTTTTTCATCTTGCCTAATAAGGACCTGGATCGAAAAGGACTGATTAAGGATCTATACGAAATACGTGATACGTGTTAGTGGCTTTGCATGAATGTAAAAATACCAATCTTATGTAATCTCACCAACACATTGTACCTTCTTGCATTTATTATTATTATTATTATTATTATTATTATTACTGTATTATTATTATGTGCCTCTGTAACCCTTTCCACTACTGCCCACAGGATGGGTATGGGGCATATAATAAATTAACTAAACTCATGATTATTCATCCTGTCAGTGAATGTGTGTTATGCACACAACACATTTAGATATATGTATATGTTATGTTGACTGTCAGCTTGACAGGTCATTACTGTGGTGATTGTGCATGCCATTATATTGACTCTCTAAGTATTCAGAAGGAACTGTTGTATTTCCCTTGAAACCAGCAGTGTTAGGAAAGCCGTTTGTCATTTACTGTCTAAGAAAGTGTTAATACAGGATTGGCCACAAGTGAACCATGTGATCGGTCAATTAAGGCATCCCGATGTCTCTCTAATGTGATATTAGCTTTTCTAACATCAATCATAGAATAATGTAAGCAACCTATATATAGTAGTAAGTTCTGTAAATAAACATTAGGTTTTATGACGGTGTTTGTGTAAAACCTTATTATATAATGCCACCCAACTAAAGTGCCCTCGGCACATACAGCCCCAAGCCCAAACGCCTTCAAACCTTCAGCCATACAAATTTTGGTGAGGACCCATTTCTTGCATTGGAGTGATTCTCACGACCAAAGTAATTTGGAATCAGGTGAAGCCTGTCAATAAGGATTACCCAACAGAAGGGTCAGTTTCTTGGCCTATTCCTAGACAAGAGACTCAACTTCAGCACCCACATACAACACATAACTAAGAAAGTCTCTAAAACAGTTGGTATACTCTCCAAAATCAGATATTATATACCTAACTCTGCTCTCATCTCACTATATTATGCACTAATCTATATCTATCTTAATTATGGTATCTGTGCATGGGGTTCAACCACTGCAAACCACCTCAAATCCATCATCACTCAGCAAAAATCTGCTGTCAGAATAATAACAAACTCTGCTTTCAGACAACACTCAGCCCCCCTGTTTAAATCCCTCAACATGCTAAACAAACTCACTCCACACATTCTCTTGTGTCACTTATATTTACAAAACCCTGTTCTTAAATGCAAACCCTGCTCTGAAACTCTCCCTGGACACATGTAATAGGACCCTTTATCACCACACCAGAAATAAATATCTCTTTGATATCCCCAGAGTCAATCCCCAAAAATAAAGGGACCTGGTCTATGGAACTCACTCCCTAATGAATTGAAAAGCTGTCCAACTTTTGCCTCATTCAAAAAAAAAAAAACTAAAAATTACCTAATTTCATCTTCATAGTTTCCTACATTGTGCCTTAAAATTGCACTGTATCTAGTGCTACTTTATGTACCTAATCCAAACAACTTTACCATTATGATCATTGCTGTCTTCTTATATGTGCTATCAATATGCTGTTTTGTGCCTATTAATCTTTGTTAAATTACTATCAAGCTATCAATACAATCAATCAGAGCTACCGATGTGCTTTAATATACCTACTAATCTCTCTCATCTCATTTTTTTCTTGCAATGTATCTGTTATCATTTTATTAATTCCTCTAGAATTTACCTACTTAAAATTATCTGTTAGATTAAGGACCTGCCCAAAATGCTGCGCGTACTAGTGGCTTTACAAGAATGTAATTACCATGCTATGTATCCTCAAAAACCCAATGTACCTTCTTGTATATAAATATAAATAAAAGGACCCTTACTCGACCAAGTACTCTCTGGGCTTGCACACATTGTTCCTGTATTGTTAAACTCAAACTGATAATTATTTAGCCATCAGCATCAAAGTAGTGACATTGCACGTCACCACTTTGACGTGGTAACTTGCCATTGCACGTAATTAAAGTTAAAGTAAAGTAAAAGTCCACAACTGTACTATGTTTTGTATGTTTTTTTTTAATATACGATCAATTATTATTAGTCAATACCCTTAATAGATTTGTTAATGGATATATAGCACTGACAACTGTATAGATAATTATTTAGCTAATGACAAACAAGTACATCAAAGGAGCTTTTAATACAACAAGCAATTGCAATTTTAGTGAAGCTTGCATGTATGGGATCTTGTATGAGATTACTCAGGATCTTGTGCCAACATCAGAAAAGGGCAACAGTAATCAAAGGATCTCTGTAGTACAGTTGGGTTCTTTCTCGACTCAGTCGGGAGTCCTGGGTTCGAATCTCGTGCAGGGTAGAAATGACTCGGCATGTTTCCTTTCATCTAATGCTTCTGTATACCTAACAGTAAACAGGTACTTGGGAGTTAGTTAACTGTTGTGAGTTGCATCCTGTGAAATGGTAGAATACTAGAATGGACAAAGCAAAGGTTAAATGGTCGTTCAAAATGGAAATGAATCTGACTGGAGAAATTTGATGAGTGGAGTACCGCAAGCTTCCATCTTGGGGCCAATCCATTTTTGTCATAAACATCAATGACATATATGGAAATATTGCAATCCACACCATCAAATTTGCACAAGACACTAAGATCTCCAGAAATCTGATAAAGATCTCTGATAAAGTAAGAAGCGAAAATTATACCCAGACTTTACAAAGAGATGAACATGAACTTCTCAAATAGTCGGAAGACTGGCAAATGATTTTTGATATGGAAAATGCAGCACCTTACATGTGCTGCATTTTCCGTCTGGCCAGAAAATTTTCGGGGGGTTATGGGCCGCCTCCGTCTGGTCGCCCCCCAGGCCAGACGGGGGCGGCCCCAGTGCTACAAATCGGCATCTATAGCGCCCCTTAACCCCCCCCCCTGCAATTTTCATAAAGTCAAATCTGAAATAGAGATTGTGTTTACCGTAGATATATTTAGCAGTGTCAGTGGTTCGAAATATTACATTTTCCGAGAAAGAAAGTGGGGGAGGGGGAGGCGAAAAATGTTTGAATAGAGGGAAGGGGGAGAAAGGTGGAGAACGGAGATTAGAAAAGAGGGTGGAGAGTTAAGGAGAGGGGGATTTGAAAGTTGAGAGAGAGGAAAAACCTAGGTGCACCCAGGTACCCTATCTTTGCATAATATAAAATCATAATAACAACATGTAATCATATAATGATTAGTATATGATTATGGACTAATCACATGGACTTTGTTGAAACTTTTGGCAAGGTACCACATGAAAGACTAGGAAGCTAAGAAACTACAGGCACTTGCAATAAATGGGAGAATACTGGAATGAATAAAACAATGGTTAAAACAATGAAAACCCGAGTCGTGCTAAATTAGAATAAATCTGACTGGAGAAATGTGGTAAGTGGGGTACTTTTGTCATTATACATCAATGACAGAAAATATTACTCACCACATAATCAAATTTGCAGATGACACTAAGACTTATGGTAAAGTGGGAAGTGAAAATGAGATTGAGACTTTACAAAGAGATCTACATGAACTCCACAAATGGTCATAAGAACGGCAAATTCGTTTTAATATCGATAAATGCAAGACCTTTGCATGTGGGGCATAACAATCCACGTCACAACTAGCAAATTAACAGAATTCATTATTCATCATCAACCTTGCAGCAGATTGTCGGATAAAAGGACCTTACCTTGAGGTTACCTTGAGGTGCTTCCGGGGCTTAGCGTCCCCGCGGCCCGGTCGTCGGCCCTGGTCAACTTACTTAAGCCACGTTATTGTGACTCATCGCCTGCATTATTATTATTATTATTTTTATTATTATTATTATGGTTATCATTATCATTATCATTATTATTATTATTATTATAATTATTAAGTGTGTGAGTGCGCGGGGTGGAGGTGTCCCCAAGGGTGACGGGGCGCGCGGGACGCTTGTATCTGAGGGACACAATGGCAGACTAAGCGACCAACACACTCCAGGGGTGATGGCTTGGAGTAAAAGTTCGGAGGGCGAGTGGCGACATGCTATATACTGTAAGCTACGGGAGAGAAACAAGAAAGAGTACGAGAATATCAATGATCTTATTCAGCTACGTAAGTATAGAGATTAAGGTCAATTTGTGGCAAGGGAAATGTAAATGTCACTGCCCTATGGAAAGTGGGTGGTGCAATAATTTTTGTTTCTATGTATCTTGTTTTGGTTTTAAGGAATACGCCAAATTATTGCAGCTTTTTGTCTTTGTCTCGAAGAAATAGAGTAGATTAGTACGAGAAATGTATGATATTTACAGGGTTAAGGTTGTTGTTTTAGCATGGGTGAAGAGTAATTTTAGTGTGATGTGACCTACCACACGTAACAATGTCCACACACCATCACAATTAGAAGTCACCACTTATCTACCACGATACCCAAGCTGGACTAGCAAAGCAGCATTTCATACTGGCCTAGGCCCTACCAATCCCAAAGCATCCTTAGATTTGTTTACATTAGCTGAGCCACAGCTAATGTAAACAAACTGGATATAAACACAGCTGATCATATAAATAGGCCACAGATTTAATTGATGGTTATGTTTCACAACCAAAGATCACATTCACTCCAAAAATCGATCACTTACGGGTTATTCATGCCCGAGTCACCTCTTGGATGGGTTAGTCTTCAATCAATCAATGGTATCTTGACCTCGGACCAACATCAGCAGAAAGTCGTCTTTACTCTCCTCTCCTTGATGCCTCGCCTCGCCTCATCGTGCAGTCAGCTCAGGACTTCGTTGCTAAGTGGACAGCACTCGGGGGTTGTAATCCTTAGGGCCTCGGTTCATTTCCTGGCCAAGGCAGAAACACATTGGCAGAGTTTCTTTCACTTGATGCACCTATTCATCAGGCAGTAAATAGGTACTACTACTAATAATAATAATAATTGTATTTACAAGAAGGTATGATAAGTTTGTGAGGGGGGGAGGGAATTGTCAGGGGCAGTGCCAATCCATTATGACTATTTAGCACTTGGAAGGGGTCAGGATAAGCATTTGGGGTGGGACGGGGAGAAGGAATGGTGCCCAACAATTTGGACAGTCGGGGATTGAACATCGACCTGCATGAAGCAAGATCGCCGCTCTTCCGTCCAGCCCAAGATTACATAAGATTAGTATTTTTATATTCTTGCAAAGCAACTAACATGCATTGAGTTTTGGGCAAATCCTCAGTCTAATGTATCAGGTAAGATGAAAAGGTACATTATAGCAAAATTTTATATTAACATATAACTACAAAATAAATTGACAGAAGTGATTACACTGGTGAAGATATATATGTAGGAAACTATGAGGATGAGATAGCTTTTGTTGATAAATATTTTACCTTGTGCAAGTGATTGGATGTCTATCATGTTATTAGGTTATTCCAGTGTACAATATTATAAATAGATTAAGTGTTAAACTGTGAATCAATGGTTGTTTTCTTGTAATAAATGATTTTGTTCAGTTCATTGCTGGAAAATTGAATGTATGTCAGAAAGCATAAAAGGCACAGTGCTGTTGGGAATAATTGAAGAATTGGCTGACTGTTGAGCCCTTACCTAACTTAAGGATTCTGGATATGATGAAGATGAATGAAGCACAAAATTGCACTACTGTAATTGGATACAGGCACATTGTTGCTAAGAGTTTTTTTCTTCAGGAAATTAATTTTAATTAAAAAAGATAAATTTTTCATACAGTAAATATAGTACAGAACAATAATGCATTGTTAACAATTAAGTTATTCTATTTTAATTACTTTTAATATTAATTAAAATTAATTAAACAAAATAATTAAAATTCTAATTAAAAAAAAAGCTACTGAGGAACCTCCTAGAAAGGGGCATTTGTTACACTCAGTGCTTTATTTTTGGTTTTCATTCTATGATTTTTTTTCAGATAACCGTGTCTTTGAACAAAGTGAATCCTTAAGAAATGAGAACCTGCAGCTCACATTACAAAATGAGAAGCTTCGCCAAGAGAATACGCATTTACAAAGTCATGGAGGTGGTGGCAGCGGCAGTGAAGGTGGAGGTGCCTCATCATTGGTTGTACAGGTGAGTTAGTGGCTAAGTTTATTTATAATGGGCTTATTACAATGGTAAATTGTTTGGGTTATATGTCTGTTGTGAATATAATATTTTTTTAAGTTGTTGTGTCCTTTAACCACTGCACTGCGCCACCCAACAAAACACAGGGTATGGCGGTGCGCCATCCGACTCTTAAGTGATGTTAGGATATCGAAAGATTCAAAATGTGCGAGCGGTAGGTTGGGTACGAGATGGAAGCCTCTAGTGAGAGGCATCCATCTCAAAAAAAAGTCCCAGCATGCCCAGGGGCTGCAGGTTGGCTCAGTTCTGAGTGAGCAACCATGGGTGTCACGCGTGCCTCTGGCTCCCAATCCCATGTCGGACGCGATGTTGAAAGATTGTTTTCTGACGGGGAAATTCAGATCTTATTGTTTGAAGAAGATAAGGGTAGTGATATTGATGAAGCAAGACACACTAAGGGCCTAACACAAGTGTCGGATACAAGTGATAAAGCACGAATGAGGACGATAAAGCAAGCGTATCCAATAGAGGGTGAGCGCCAAGCATGCTGTAGCCTCCCAGACCATAACACATTATTATCACCAGCTCTGTCATTACCAATTTTCAAAGAAAGTGATTGCTATAGATGAATCATTTTCTGGGTTCAATGATGCTGCTTCCGATACAAGTAGTATAGACGGACAGTGTGTTAGTGGCTTCCATGGTGGTGCTACTATGCCACTGGTGGTGGTGCCAGTATACAGTATACCAGCAGTGTCTACATTGTCTGTTCCTGCTGCAACCTAGTCAGTTACATAGCATTAGAAATATTGTGAACACCTGCCTGGGCCAATATGTCTCGTCTCCAATGTAGTGGGAGTTCTCCCCTAAATAACTGACCTCCGACCACACTCGCAAGCCATATCAGTAGGAATGGAGACACTGGAGAATTCTTCATCCATCCCTGAATGACTGATAAAAGGGACATACCTCTGCACTCGGAAATCTTCGCCTAGAAATATTAGACACAAGTCTTGCTCTACTACTCCAAATTACTGACAGCTAATTGACCACCTGGTTGTCACCTGCCACCAGGAGGTGGCATCGGTATTGTACACTGAGCAGCTTCTCTCTGGGCTGTTATCTGGTGCTGGATGAGTGTATTTCGGACATAATTACACCTTCGTAACAATTATTTCCATGATTTTTGTTAGTTAAATTTTTATATAAACTGGTTTTAGTGTTTTTGGTTTTTTGGTAGGTCTTTTGTTTGGTTCTGTGGTAATCTCTGATCTCTAGGCTATGCTTCTTTGCTTCTTTAATTTTGCCAGATTCTGGTCCTGGCATCCAGTAGGTGTTAGTGGGTGTTAAAGAGTCCTGGTGTGCTCACCAAGATTAGGTTGCTTCCGGGTTGCAGCATCAGGGAGCTACCAAGTGTCCCATCAGAAAGAGGGTGTACCTCATTACATTCAACACTAGACTTTTCCACTCACTTGTATCATGATATTGCTTTTAGCCATAATATATTGTTCCTTTCAGGCCTTGGAGCAGAAACTATATAAGCTACAAGAAGAGCTGACAGATTTGCATAGACGAAAAGGTGAAAATGCTCAACAGCTGGTCGAATTGAACCAGTGCCTTCAGGAACGTGATAAAATCATGGCAACAAAAGACAACAAGTAAGTCTAGTAGCCTATATATTGAATGAATCTTTGTGTATTTACTAATAAATGTCTATTTTGTTTTGTCTTATGTTTGAAGATGTTGATAGCCATCTTTCAGCACAAAACATTTTGTTATTGACAACTTTCAGTGTTAGCAACTTACAAATTTATTTGGTTTTAAAAACAAAAATACTGTACTGTACATATAATTTGATTATTCTGCTGCTGTAAGAGAGTTATGCCATGGTACGTATATAATAACATAGGTGCATATATTTATTTTTACACAGATTGGCAGAATATGAGTCAGATCTTTTGATTTTACGAGAGGATTTAGCAGCTAAAGAGGCAACACTTATAGATGTCCAGGGAGTTAACCAAGTGCTACGAGATGAGTACCAGACACTTAACCTAGCTTTTACAGCATTGGAAGAAAAATATAGAAGAGCACAGGTGTGTTAATGTTTATTGAAGCTCTTGTGTACGATTAGTAAGAAAAAACAAATTCATATACCGTAATAAGTTAATATTCCTTGTTTGGGTAGTGAAGGAAACCATTTTCCTTGTTAAACCATGGTCAGAGATACTTAATTACTCTAGTCCTTTGCCATATAATTGTGGTGATGTTTCTCTAAATTATTTAAATGAATGTAATACCTATGTTTTTAATGATCAACAGGAAGAAAACCGAGAATTAATTGATAGATGGATGGCACAGAAGGCTAAAGATGCAGAAAAACTAAACCTGGAGAATGACACCGCACTCAGGTTAGTGCTTGTTTGTGTGTCTATTTCAGTGTTTTGAAGATATAAACAATAACCTATTAATTGTGTAATGTATATGTGACAAAGTGGCAGGGTAAGAGCTGCTGCATACATGAATTTCACGAGCATACGAAAAGGGACACTGAAATAAATTCTTTTTCTGTTTAAGTTGCAATATTTTATCTGTAATGACATCTTTACACTACTGTATTGGTACAGTGATGGATAAATTGCTTAGATGCCATCTTTTAATTTGCATTACTCTTCATCTGCCATGATTCTGGCACTATATTATTTTAGACGTCCTACATTAAGACATCTCTCTTAGTGAGTGCTCTTTCACTCAATCCTTGCTTTAATATTTTGCTTGTCTATATTCTCACGGTGCATCAGACCTTGTTATTGATTTTATTCATTTTTGATGCATAATAGAATGAATGTCCATCTGGGTACTCATTAATGTTATACAGTTGCATGAAAGTGGAGTCATTGTGGTATATTGGTCTCTTCTGTGGCTGCCTATTACTTTCCCTGATAGGTGTTTACAGTCACACTTCGGGATTACTTAGCTGAGATACTGCCCTGGTTCCTTGCATGCCTGTCTATGTGACTGAGCAGGTGGCTGACTTTCCTCATCCCTGTTTTTTTTAAGTTTACATTCTTTATTAGATTCTGGCTTTCCTGTTTATTTACATATTTGATTCCAATTTTTGCAGTTGCTGCTGTCTGTTGATGCAGGGTCCCGCTCTTCCTGCTTCAGTTGGCTCTTACTAGCCTCTGTCCTTGTGGGGGGCTGAGTTTGAACTGTGCCCTGTGGCGGCAGCTGTTTGAGTTCTGCCTTCATGGTAGTGGTTTTGGGCTTCATCATATTCCATTGTTGTTCAGGAGGATGGGACTGTGGCTTCATTGTGTATCTTTGTTTTGTTTTCTAGTGTGGTAGTCCTGGTTGCCAAGGAGGGTCCATATTCTTGCTCTTGAGTGCTCTCTGGTGAGCCCCTTCTTCTGTGCCTCCTGCTCTGGGTGGGTTTTGGCATTTATCTCAGGATTCCTTGTATAGAGGAATCTTGAATGTTTTGTGATGTTTCTTAGTATTATAATTTGCAGTTTGCCTTGGTTGTGACTGATCTCTGATTGCCATGAGATTCTGAAGATAAGACAGAAAATTTAACAAGGGCCTTGTCTCTGGTAGGAACAAAAGTTATCCAGTGCCTAATGTAATCATAGCACCCTGGGAGTGGTCAGAACCACAGGTCAGGGAAGCTACCAAAGCACCACCCAGAAAGGGATGTACAGTATAACACATCCAGTGTTCTATTTCTTGTTTCCCGAGATGTTATAGCCTGGAGATACTTCTCTTAATTTCTACAAATAAAACACATTTAGTTCCTTTAGACATTGTACAGCGTATTAAGAACCTAAGAATAGCGGGAATTGGCAGAACCCCTATTGTCCCATGCATGGCAGCTCTTATTTAACCTGTCCTCTCGAATAACAAAATCCCCAACGGACAAAATATGATGTACAGTACTGTAAATAAGATGATGTACTGTTAATGTATATCTAGAATCTAAAAATACTATCTAAAATTTGTACTGGGCTTGACCCTGACGATTTTGTATTTTGGATCCTTCATTGTACAGTATTAATATGATGAAGACAGACTAAATCATTGTATTTTAATCAGCTACATTGTTACAGGTAGTACTTTAAATTTGTTATTATAATGGCATAACTATTATATTGTCTTGTGTCTTCTAGAAAGCGACAGATGGTGCTTGAGGAACAACTTAAAGAAGCGGCACGTGAGCCCAAGCAAGTGAACATGGATGATAAGTTTGCCTGTAGTCCTCCCATTTGTCTATCTGCTGTCCTGCCAGCTAAGGCCTACCTTAAATATGTAAGCTAACTGTGTGGGGAAATTTGGTGCAATATGGAAGTAAATGAATTTAATAAAAGATTAAAATAAATGTGCAGTTTCTCATGGATTGTGGGGAAAAATGACTTGTAGGATTTATTGATTTATTTACAACTAGCAGTACCCTGGCCACACGTTGCTGTGGCTCAGCAACGCATGTGCGTTGCTGAGCCACAGCAACCTTCCCTGTCTCCCAGTCCTCCCCACCATTCTCCATTCCCCCATCCCCTCGTCCCCACCATTCCAAACTCCTCCATCCCCTCGTCTTTCCCCACCATTATCCTCTCCCTTGTCCCCTCATCCTCCCCCACCATTTCTCACTTCCGTCCCCTCGTCATCCCCACAATTCCTCACTCCCTCGTTCGATGCCTTCCCAAATGGTCTGATGTTCCCATCAGAAAATTGGGAACATCAAGTGATCTGATGTTCCCATCACTGAAATATAAGAAAAACAGTTAAAAAATGAAATGAAAATATGAAAAAATAAAAAAAATAAACTATACATAAAATGAACGGTATGGTAAACAACACAGCTCAATTCCAACACAATTCATACAAAATAATTAAATAAAAATGAAAATAAATAAAAAACTATGAAAATTCAATTTATCAATGCAATCAGAAACATTGAAATGGAATTGTAATATATTTAATATAGCATGTGTGTTGTTCTTACATGCAACAGATAGCACTGTTTTTCAAGAAAAGCATAGTTTTACCTGTTACAGGTGTGGCATCTATACTTATACTTATGAAATGAACAGTATGGTAAACAACACAGCTCAATTCCAACACAATGTCACACAAAATAATTCAATAAAAAATAAAATAAATCGAAATCTATGAAAATAAAGTTTATCAATTCAGTCGGAAACATTGAAATGGAATTTGTGACATATTTAGTATAGCGTGAATGTTGCTATTATGTGCAACAGATGGCGCTGTTTTTCAAAAACGCATGTTTTTACCTGTCACAGGGGTGGCATCTATATAGTAGGTATATAAAAAGACGTGCCTATTCGAATGCAACGTTGTCAAAATTTCAAAGCAATCGGTGAAGAACTTTCGGAGAGTACAGTGTGTGTGTTGCTATTACGTCCAACAGATGGCTCTGTTTTACAAAAAAAGCATGTTTTTCCTGTCACAGGTGAGGCATGTATATACTGTAGTAGATATATAAAAAGACGTGCCTAATCGAATGCAACGTTGTCAAAATTTCAAAGCAATCGGTAAAGAAGTTTCAAAGATTTCCCCTCACATGAAAAACACAGTTTTTCAGAAAAGCATGTTTTTTACCGTCACAGATGTGACATCTATATAGTATGTATATAAAAACCTGCTCAGATGCGAATGGAATGTTGTGTGAAAATTTTAAAGCAATCGATGAAGAACTTTCGGAGATTAGCGGTTATGCACAAACGAACATTTCCATTTTTATTTATATAGATTTATTAATTTATATTGTAGTAATTTATTTGTTTATTTATTTCGATAGCGGACTGTATGCTGTTTAAAGTGGACTGTGTGAGTTTATTCCCACAAATCGTTTCCTACACAAGCTGGGGGATGGGGTTATTTTGTATGTGTATATTATATATATATATATATATATATATATATATATATATATATATATGGGGCTATATATATTATATAGTAGGCATCCTTCAGTCTCGGAAGACTATGGAGTTGCGCCCTGACAGGGCGCAAAGCCTGGGTAGGTAGATATGGAGGAGAAGCTGTTACCCATGCAGCAGGTCCCCCCTCTCCACGTTGCTGAAATTATCCAATAGAAAGGCAAATGCCAATACACATGGTTCCAGCAACGTCGCAGGAGCTGCCAGAACGAGGTCGACGTCAACAACGAACTGCCTTAGGGGCTCCAACTCTGGATTTTTTCTCGAGGTTGACTCCTGAAGCCTTTCCCAAAAAAGGGTTATGGCTGCAAGGCAGCGGAGGTTTAAAATCGGGGTTTTCCTTCCCCTAGATGAGCTGCCTTTCCAGGCTATCGAGTCCATCTACCCAGAGCAGCTGGTTTTAAGGCGCCAGAGGCACGCCCTCGCCCCTTCTCCTGTCGGTAAAAGCAGTTCCGCCGGACTTAAAGACTAAGCCACCGGTGTAGGCCAGGAGTTGGACTTGGTTGTCAGAAGCTATTGGAGACGCATGCAGTATAGGAGCATTTTATAGGTCATGGGAGCTCGTCTCCCATTACCACCCCCTGGCTATGACAACCCCTTGGAACCATATATGTGTATATATATATATATACTGTAAATGTATATATATGTATATAATATTTTATTTATTTATTTATATTTATTGTAACAGGTTATGGTTACGCAACTATACTGAACCAAGATGGTATGGCTCTCCCTCGCACAAATAAAAAAAAAATGCTGCTATTGGCCTTGCAGTGTGTAAGTCGCAGGTGGAAACAAATGAAAATTATCCAATAAATAATTAAAACAATTTACTGAAATATTTATGAACAAAAATGACACACACGAGAATACTTGGCTATTATTATATAACAAATCAAATAAGTAAATGAAAGTTTAACTCTAATACAAAGCATAAAGATATTCTGGTGTAATGAAGACAGCTACCATACCACCATGACATCAGTCACACTGCATTGCCTCAAGGGAGACGACGGGCGAGAGACCACGGTGATCCTAGAGCACTGAGAGAGAGACTGGCTCTCCTGGGTTGTTGTTGTTTAAGATTCACTACCTGGAACAAAAAGTCCCAAGTAGCACGGGCTATGGTGAGCCCGTAGTATACTCTCTCCAGGGCTGTTGTTGTTGTTAAAGATTCGCTACCTGGAACAAAAAGTTCTAGGTAACACGGGCTATGATGAGCCCGTACTCTCCAGGGAGGCGGCGCCCTTTATATAGTCCGGCGGTGATGACTCATCCGGTGTCTACGCAAGGTGGACATCTGGTCAACTAGCAAACTGCTCGTTTGTGGCTGGCGGTGCCTTTGTGTTGAGCTGCATCACTGCCAGTTGAAGGCAGCTAACTGCTTGATTGTGGGGGCAAACTATCGGTTAGCAGAGGCGCCCGGCTTGCCTCCGAGTCGTACCAGGCCGTGCCAGGCCCTGGGGGGTATGGAGAGGTGGCAGGACTGATGAGTCATCTGGGCTGGTGTAGATGTATACTTCCGGTGAAGGGAAAAGGCAGTTCCACTGCTATGCAGGGGATTCAAGTGACAAAATATATATATATATATATGTGTGTGTGTGTGTATAAAATATATATATATACAGTATGTCTATTAATCAAAATTATCAATTGGTAGACATTCACTACAATATTAAGACTACATAGATTAGTAAATACTTAGGAAGCCTCATCTGTATTGTAGCTATGGTTTGGACAATCAGATATGAACACAGTTGATCACGCCAACCAATACTTCTCGTGGGTGAGGCAAGCATTATCACATGTTGTTATACCAGGTAATTGATGCTAATCCTTCTTCCCCTTCACTTTCACCTGTCAAAAGGCGCACGCAATAATAATTGTAACCTATATATGACAGCTATATCAGGGAAAATTTATATTGTACTTGATTAATTGATAATTACCCCTTTGGGTGGCTCGCCTAGTGTTCTAACCGGAATCCCTAATCTTTCTATTACTGGCCAGGAATGGATTAGATATTACGGGTATCGGGTCCAGAACACTTCTTGTATTGTTGATGAAGATCGTGCTGATGACAGGACGTTTTTGGTCCTGTAACACTGTGTCGAAAGGGAATAATTGTGGAGCTTGTTCTGCTCCAGCGAGACTTGTGTTTACGTTAAATTTAATATGGCATCTGTCTCCCCTCCCACATTGGCTGTTCTTCAGATACGTTCTATCAAGAAGTGGCAAGAGGGTTTATATTTAATCTATTTTAGTACTGATAATTAAGTTGGTTCAAAGGAAATGTTTTTATGATGTTTACTGTCCAGAGACTGATATTTTAAGAATAATTCCCAATATTATTAGCTGGTGAATTTAATAGCGACGTGGCAATGATATCCCTGTTTTCTCCCAAGGAAAATTTTACTGGAGCCTCATTTTCTATGAATAAATAAAGCACTCTTTCTAGGTTAATTTGTAAGTACAAAACAGCAGCAATATTATCTGCCTATTGTATTAAATGTTAGTAAATGGTGTCGGTTTTTCCGACATGGATAGCAAGTGATGTTTCTCTCTCATTCTCAGCACTTTGTACTCTAAACTACCAAAATTGTTTTGTCAAGTAATTAAATTTTTTCAAATTTGCGAGGTTACCATTAATTAAAACCAGATGTATTTGTATACAGTAGTATTAAGGATTTGATATACCACTTCAACTCTTGTCAAGGTGTTGGAATAATTCGTAACAAAATAGTGGATGTTCTTCAGTTTCTTGTATTAATATTTTAGTTCATTGTTTATACAATATTGTAGTTTTTTGTATGTAGAGGCACTTGCAAAAAAAAGAAAAAATAATGGCATGTTAAATTTTCACTGACACATGCCCATCCACTTCACACAAAGTTAACTTTCATAGTTGATGACATTTCTCAAGTAAAGGCTGTTTTCCGACATTTCTTTACATACAAGAGAAAATTCAGCAAGTTCCACGTTATCTTCTGTAGTGGCTAATTTAGATCATGAGTCTTTATTCTGTGTACATTCCTGTCTTCTATTACACTTTTTCAGTAATCCACTCTACCTACCAAAAAATATGCTTTCTAACTCTATTTGAACTCTATAGTAGGACTACTCAAATTAGATAAAATGGCTGAGTAACTGTTCAATACCCCATCTCTCCTCATTGCTAACAGTACAAAAGTAACACTGAAAACTTGAAATTATAAAATATATCTGCACTTCATGTAGACTTTTGTATCTGCAACTTCTAGACCATATATTCTGTCTAGATCCATATATTATATCTAGACTGCTAGTCATCTCTCATGTTATATGAGCTTGAGGCATATGTCGCTGCACTCCTCCAAGCCCGGGATGTGTCGCTCTCTGCCCGGGTGCCATTTTTTTGCAATCTGCCACAATTTACACCTTTGCAGCCAAATATCATGCAAGATTGTGTACAAGACTTGTTCCTGTTTAACTTAAGTCATAGTTTGGGTTGTCTGCGATATTTCTAGGTGGGTAAAAATGACTCTTGATGGTGGAAAGGACTATTATTAGACAGCAATCATGACAATATACTGTACTGTATATATATATGCACAGTATACACTTAATCCTGTATGTGCCATTTTCTTCTACATAGGATGCCCATGATGGAGAGGTGAATTGCATCTGCTTTAGCCCCCAGGGAAAAATGCTGGCAACTGGGGGAGGTGATAGGAAGCTGAAGCTATGGGACATAAGTCGTGGTTGGTATTATATCTTTCTTACAAGAAATTCATTTTACTTGTATTTTAAGCTGTGGCATGAGGCGCATATGATGACAAAACTCCCATATCAGAAAATGGAGAAATGATGATGTTGCTGTCCATCCTGGACCATTATCAAGTCATGTAACTTGATAATTGTTTCGTTCTAGGATGGACCGAAACGTTCTTATTTCTCCATTTTGTGATGTGTGGTTTGGTCATCATATCTTCAGCCATGTTATTGTGACTCATCATCTGCATGAGGTGCATACAATACTCGCCTTGCTTATCACATGAACTGTGTGGAAATGATATGCTTATGTCTTTTCAGTGTTGAAGAATAAAATTCAATGCAAACTCAAATGCAGTATTGCTCTACAGTGGAACCTCGATTCAACAAACTTTGATTTGGTGAATCTCAGTTGGGTGTTTGGAATTTTCTTGTTGTGCGAAGTGTAGCTCTTAAAAATGTGATTCGAGGCACATTAAATGATTTTTCATAGATGGTCACAACATTACCAAAAATAGTAATAGGCCTTGGGAAAGCCATTGAGTATATTTAAAACCAAATTCTATGGCTCATTTTAATTTTGAGATTTCCCTGTTTTTATTCACTAATATGGGTTCTTTTTCCTTTGAAAATGATATTTCAAGGTTAGGGCATGGGAAATATGCTAGATGTAGTTAAACTTCTTTACAGACAGGTTCATTTGGTAGTTGTCTATTATATTATAGGTTAAATGAAAACTTTGATAAGTGAGATTAGATCATAGGGAATTGCAACCTGGAGGCATCTCTGGTTGCGGTGGGTCATATATAGTCATTGAATCGAGATTGTACTGTATAATGATCTACTACGAAATTGTTTATTTCATTTTGAATTTGAGCAATGCTATGCATTTGCACTCGCTCACAAGCAATTTTTTTTTTTATAGACATTCCTTGAGAGAGCAAGGCATTGCCTAAGGGAGCAACTAAGTGTTTTGGTCAGAACATTTTTAATTTATCTACCCTCAAAGCCTTACTTTTGCATCACATTACAGACAAATTGAGAAGCAACACGTTCATAATAACTAGATCAGCATGGTGAGTGAGTGTGTGAGGAAGTGAGGAGGGTGTGGATCACACAAAATCTAGCAAGGAATAAAGCCGAGTGAAAGCTGCTTGCGAGAAAGGAGTGAATGTATTTGCATGTAATGAATATGATAATTTATGAGGAGCACAACACCCGGTCTTGTGAAGCAGTTGGTTATTGATGGGAATGACTGTGGTAGTGCTTCTTTATCTTTGTTTTTAATGTTTCTATTGTTTAAAAGTTGAAGTGTTCTTTTATTATAATATTTACCATTTATTCTCCAGGCTGATGTCTCGTCATAGTGTATAGTAAAAGTGGGAAATGGTATAATGATACTGTATGAATGTGTCATCAAATAAAGGCTTTTTATATTTAAATTATTGTAATGTTTTTGGACCCAGCTTCATACATAGTGGTACCTCTATTTTTTAATTTAATCCATTCCCAGAGATGGTTTGAAAACTGAAAATTCAAAAACCTAAACCAATTTTCCCATAAGAAATAATGTAACTTGAATTAATTCGTTTCACACACCCAAAAATATTAACTTAAAAATACATTTTATACAGAATGCTACTCATATTTTTCATACACAAAACAATCAGGTATAAATATAAGCCATAAATAAAATAAGTGAACATTTAACTGCACTTTACCTTTACTGAGGACTCTTGTTGGCGCATGTGAGATGGTGGGGAGGAAGGGAGGAGCGGTGTTGGTGTATGGGGAGGGTGAAGAGGAGAGAGCGGGTGGTGAACCCATATCTGCATTTAGACCATATTGCCTTAACCGCTTTCATGTCTGCATCACTGGTTTCAGATTTTCCTTTCACGCATTTCACTGCCTCTGTTATGTGGAAGCGAGTTAGAACCAGTCAGTCAAGCATTGACAGTCACAGGCAGTCATAACCAAAGGCAGTCAAGCATTCGTAGTTGTGTTAGCAACCGGTTAGGCATTTACAATCAGTCACGCATTCACAGTCAATCAGTCACGCATTCCAGTCAATCAGTCACGCATTCACAGTCAATCGGTCTTTCACAGTCTATCAGGCTTTCACAGTCAGTCAGGCTTTCACATTCACAACCAGTCATTTAGTAAACAATTAGAGTTTAATGTCAGGTGCTCAGGAAGTTTGCCTCCTGATGCAACAACTGGTAGCAAGGAAGCCCATCGTATTAATACTGTCCAGATATCATCTGGAAGGGGTACAGATGGGGGGTGTTCAGTGTGGGGGATGGAGGTAGTGGGAGAAGGTGTGGGATGGGGGGGGGATGGAGGTAGTGGGAGAAGGTGTGGGATGGGGGGGGGATGGAGGTAGTGGGAGAAGGTGTGGGATGGGGGGGGGGGATGGAGGTAGTGGGTAGGGTCTGCTGTGCGGGATGAGGAGTCTTGGGGAGGGACCGTGGGTGAGCAGCTCCTGAGTTAGTCCTAGTCGGAAGCTCACCCACTCACGCCACTGCCTCTGCTACCCACCCCACCCACTTTGCTGCCCGCCCTGCTACTCGTCCATCCACGCACTCTCACCTGCCCACCCACTTGCCATCCACGTGTTCTTCCCTTACACGATTCTAGGGCTGGTGTTTCTGAAAGATTTTCTTTCCCGCCTCCCCCCATCCCACTCACCTGCCATCCATCCGGTCCCCCCACTATACAGTTCATTCATCCATCCAGTCCCCCCTCCACTATCCAGTCTCCCTCCACCATCCATCCACCCAGTTCTCCCAAATACAATATTCAAGTGCGATTGTCACTAGGCGGGATAAACTGGTAAACTGAGTGCACCTCGTCCCATGCCCACCCCTCGCCCAGCCCCTCGCCCAGCCCCCTCGCTCAGCAGAACAGAAACACACACTCGTCGACCCATACATGTATCAACAAACATAAGCACCAAGGCAAACCTTGAGCACCGAGTCAAATTTTTTGAAGAAATTGAGCACAAGTGCCAAAAAATTTGAAAACGGGCATTCAAAAACCGAGTTTTCACTGTACTGTATTTGGATTGACAAAGAGAATAGTGTGAAACATTCAATAATATTATATACCTCTCATTTCTGTTATTAGGAGTCCAAGGTATAGTTGTTTCAAGTAACCACAAAACATGTAAATAACAAATCTGTATTTACTTAAAAACATTTTATAACATACATTTGGTAAATGTGTTAGCAGCAAATGCAGAAGCAAGAGGACTTCTAACGGGCAGCAATGCAGGAGTGACAGCTATAGACTTTGATATGGAAGAATCGCTCATCCTAGGTGCCTCAAATGACTTTGCCAGCAGAGTATGGACTGTCGTAGATCATAGATTAAGAGTAAGTTTTAATTTAAACTTTTTTGTAATTTTTCATTATCCACATTTTTCATTGCTGTACATAATCTTTCCTCCTGTGGAAACTTCATATTTAGTGTGTCTTTTATACTTTGTCAATATGTCATGTTTAATCTTGCATGAAAAGTGCCAAGCCTGTTGATAACCATGCATAAACTTGGCGGCGGTTCTGTGCAGTACTATACAGTGTATGGTTTACTGGATAACAACATGTAAGATGTAAGCTTAAATTTTTGCTAGTAGCTTAGTAGTCTTCTACATTTTTAATAAGTATAAGGAAATTAGAACTCTTTTTGAATGATAATTCAAACTGAATTCAAACGATAATTCCAACAGTAATTACTCTGCCACAAAGACAATTAAACAATCAGTGAGTAATTACATTAATTACTGTCACATGGACAGCTAATTGATCAAGACGAATTACGTTAATTCAATGCTATCACTTAAGACAGCTTGCCAAACAGGAATTAGTCAACCATGTACTAATTACATGAATTATACCATGTACTGTACTAGTTAAGCTAATTATTCCTTATGGAACTGAGCCTCACATGGTACTCAGGATAGATTTTGTTTGGTTTACTGCCACTGTTTGTAATCTGTTTATTTGGAAATTGAAAATCCCTCTACCTACTTTACCTGTTATTTGTTCTCTTGGCTTTCATTTTATGAGCTATTATTCCATGATTACGTTTATCAACTGCTTTTGCAATGTTTGTGTATACAACATTTGCCCTTTTTTTTATTATGCCTTTGTAAGTTTGTTATTGTGATCAAGTGGCTTAAAAAATGAACATCTTCTAGCTCTAAAACTGTATTTACCTGGATTGTGTAATTTATTCTTACCCGTATAAGTGGTAAGTTGGCTTCTAAGCACCCTTTCAAAAATCTTAATGATCTGTGATGTCGGTGTAACTAGTCTGTAGTTTTTCCTAGTTCTTTTCTGTCTTATAAAGTTGTTGAAAGGCCTGCAGTTTTTACGGTCTGTGGGAAGTCACCTGTCTTTAGGCCTTTCTTCCATATCATACTGAGGACCCGTGCTAATGGTATTTTGCACTTCTTTATAAAACAATGAATTCCAGGAATCTGTCCCAAAGCCAATTGCATGGGCATATTGTCTACATTGTTTATTTTTCGAAAGCTGTGGAGTTCGTCATATCCAACATCTGCCTTTCTGTGTTGTTATTTCTTGCAATTTGCTCCAAATCACCACATACATTTACCAAAGACCCACTTAAAAAGTTAATGGTTTAGATTTTTCCCTACGTCTGGTAAGATACAATATGCTAACTGAAGCAAAAAAAATGAAAGTTAGTAACACATGCTGATCATCTACTATGCATCATTAACATACATGGTATAATGCCAATAACTATTTCATATTTTGTTCATATTTTCTATTATTCCATAATTCTAAGTATGTAAATGAATAAGTTACATTACAGTTTCACTATTTGAAGCTTTGTCCCATAGAAACACAGTTGAACTGAATGATCACAGTGTATACTTAGCTAATGTCTTCTTATTCATTGTGTAATGTTGGGATGCTTGGATCTAAGACCAGACAATAGAACAGGTTAGATTACCTTTTTTTCCCCCTCATGCACATACTGTCAATTGTTTTATATACAAGTCCTCAGTTACTGTTTATTACTCTTTATTGATCTCATTTACTCCTTATTAATTCCATTTGCTGCTTATCTTGAATGGTGTTTACTTGAAATTCTAATGTAGGTAAAAAAAATTGTGTATTTGTCTATGGAAATTTATTTTTTCTCAACAGCACACATTAACAGGGCATTCGGGTAAGGTAATGGCCGCAAGATTTTTGTCAGAATCAGCAAAGGTGGTAACGGGGTCTCATGACCGGACCCTAAAAATCTGGGATCTACGGAGCCGTGCATGTAAGTACTGTATATTAAAAGTTTGTTTTTATAAATCAAATTCTTTTCATATTTAATCTTGATTGTATTCCTCATTGACTTTTCTTGCTGCTCTTTCCCCTCTGCTCTGCTGCATTTATGTTTTCTGGAAGGTCCAAACAGTGACTTCCTGATGTTGGTTTGCTGAAGTAGCTCTACGAGTCACATCAGACCTATGAATCTTTAATGGCCTACTGGAGACCAGAGCCAGATCCTGGCCTCCTCACAGAGGTGCAGAGAACAGGGGGGAGGGGGATTGTTATGATCACCTTTATCAAGGATATATCCATAAAGTAAGCAAAGTAAAACAGACAACTGCAAGGTTCACAGAAAGAAAAGAAATGAAGCAGTAAACAACTCTGTGCAACAATCCACCTAGCAATTGGGTTAAATTCCGTACTTACAGCTGGCCACTGCCTGTTGGCATCACCCCTGGGAGCTCCAGCTTCCTATGTCAACAGAGCTCAGTCCTGTTGACATATTTATTGCCTGTCTCTACTTCCTCATCACAATCGACTTGAGAATGGTCCAGGACGGACCGAAACGTCGTCGTCGCTTCACCTTCTAGTGTGTGGTCTGGTCAACGAGCTCAGTCCTGTCACTGATGTCCACATGTGTGGAATGCTGCTTGATTTGCCAGCTTTAGTGGCCTTTTGGGTCCCAGTTATTTATAAATAAGTGTTGGTCATCCTTTGGACTGTTGTGTAGGAGTCCATTTACTTGTAATTGTTCGAAGATTTAGTTTTAACTTCCTATACATATGTTGACAAGCTTCACTTGTTGTGTGGACTTTGGAAACCATTCAGCTCTGAGCTGTATGTGCTTAGGGCTTGTCTGTGCTTGTCAGCCTTTTCTAATTTGTCTTTGGCTAATATCCAGGCTTGGATATTAACCCAGTACAGTAGGAATATTATTACATTAAATGCTGGGTTTTCCCCCCATGAGACATTTGAGGTTCAGATCTGATGGCTTGTTAATGAGGTTAATAGTGATTCGGGATCCCAGATGATCTAGGATGCCATCTAGTGGCATCCTGACAAAGTGGCAACTAGGGTTTCAACTTTCAAAGGGTTCATCCATTGCTAACTATTGTTTGTATTGTTTTCCTCGATGATTTCTTTCTTTCAAACATTTGTTTATTTTGTATTGTCTAGATTTCCGCTGAGTAGATTTTTAGAGGTCTCCAGTGTTAAGTGACATCCACATAAAATTTTTAGGAATTTTGAATAGTTCAAGGCACATTAAATCTACCAAAGGTAACAGGAGCACTATAGATCTATATCTTGAGTGTGACAATGAGCAATTTAGGGGTCTAGGAAGATGCTGAGGAGCTGACAAAAAAGGTGTATTTCATCATATATAATGCTAAATTTTGTATTTTGTGGTATTACAATGTATGTATTTATTTTTTTGTTTTTAAGGCATTAGAACTATCTTTGCTGGGTCTAGCTGCAATGATCTTGTAGCATCCGACAGTGCAGCAACAACCATTATATCGGGCCACTTTGATAAGAAGATTCGATTTTGGGACACTCGAACTGAGCAGTCAGCGAATGAGGTGCCACTTCAAGGAAAAATTACATCATTGTCTTTATCTCGTGGTAAGTTGGGGTGGATAATGTTTGTTTTTCACTCGCAAGTATGCACAGAAGTACATGACTTCTGACTTCTGTTAGCAGGCTTAGAGCTTTCCTTTCCCATTGCTACTATTAAGAATATCCTACTAGTTTTTCCTGAAACATGACCTGCCAGTTTACAGCCAGTCCCTCCCTGTATTTTAGCTAGATAGAATATTTCATTTCAATACTATATTCAATACTACAATAATTTATTTTTATACAAGTATAGTTTATACGCCTGTCCAGGTCCTGGCATTCGTCATTTACTGAAAATAGTACTAGTACTGTCTTGGTAGCATCCTTCTATCTTGCTTCATACCTCATTTTAATGGCGTTGTCATGTTCTATTATCATTAGGTCTTTCTAATACTGAATAAGATTTTCCTTTTTTTGCATTCTTACAGATGGATTTTACTTACTAAGTTGTGTACGTGATGATTCCCTCAAAATCTTAGATCTTCGGAAAAATCAAGTAATAAATACATTCACGTAAGTGTCCTCTGGATTTCATATCCTTGAAGCTAGAGTATTTAGTGAAGAGACTGAATTTGCTGCTTTACTGTGAAATCAAAACCCAATTATTATACAATTGGATATAATACAGACTTTTTAATTGTTCATTTGCATTAGAAAGAGAAACAATTGCTCAATTAATGAGAAAATGTAAGAGGTACAGTCTATCTTTAAAAGTTACTTTGTCTTCAGTGGGCATAAACTCTAGAGCCATCCTCTTATGAGTACCTAGAATGAAACTTGAATGATTGAATTCATGAGGAAACTAAAGTTAACACTTAAGTGTGATGTTTTTGATGGAATATTTATATATATATATATTTTTTATTATTGTTATAAAGATTACATATCCAGAAAGAATAGTAGGAATACAGTTAAGTTGATAATTAGTTTGATCAATATTTGAAAATAAAATATGATGGAAGTAATAGAGCAATAATGGTTAGAACAAATAGTATAGCTCTCAGGTGATGTGGCTGTAATATGAATGTTGATGTTTGGGTATACACGGGAGACAAGAAGATATAGTATGGTATTTATTGCAGGTCAGTGTGCAGAGGAATATCAGAAAGATTGTAGCTGGATGGATTATGAGTGCATGCATTGAAAATTATTATTAGAGAGGGATGAAAACATGAATTGATATTTTAATTGTTTTCTCAGTGATGATAGCTTCCATGTTGGAGCAGACTACACGAGAGCGACATTTTCCCCCGATGCCATGTATGTTGCGGCCGGGAGTTGTGATGGTGGTGTGTACATATGGAATGTTAATACTGGCAAGCTTGAGAAGACTCTGAGGGAGCACTCGTAAGTACTGTACTCTCAACTAGCTTCTGAATATCTGTATTTTTATTAATCATCATCTGAGATTCAAATCTATCTGCAGTATATCTTTAAGAGAGAGAATGTCTGTTTGTCCAAGTTTGAAGGCCAGATGCTGGGGGCTAGCCTTACCTGTCACACATGAAACTGTAGGGTAGGGAAGGGGTTATAGGCCAGTCAGATTTCTTTGCTAGACGATGATTGTGAATTCAGTATTACATTTTCCGAGATCAAGAACGAGAAAGAGAGGGAGGGGGTAGAGTGAAGGAGGGGTCAGGGGATGTTAGGAGAGAGGGAATGAGAAAGGTGAGGATATGAGAAGGAAAAATAGGGAAATAGGGAAAGATAGACCCAGCTGGAGCTTGAAAAGGATGAACATGAATTTGGTATTAGGTTTTCAGAGAGAGAGACAGAGATTGAGAAGAGAGGAAGGGGGATAGAGGGAAGGAGAGAGGGGGGGTGAGGGGAATAGGGAGAGAGAGATGAGGGGGGGAAGGTGGGATGATTGGGAAGGAGGAAATAGACCCAGGTAAATGACCAAAATGACAGGTTATGGAGCACTAGATGCAGCCAAGTAATATATTATACATTGGAAATGCTCTCAAATAGAATGAGCGATGCAAGACCCATTCCATTACACCTGATATTCTATTACCTCTGATTTTATTTATGTCGATTAAGTTTCTGATCTATTTCGCTCAAATGCTTTCCAAGACAAGATCACTGAATGCCTCATTGGACAGGATCCCGATAGTCGGTTGTTATATATTTGAGAGAAATGGCAGAGATTTCATTTGTATACTTTACAGTATTATGTATGCTTTTTATTGATTTTTTCAGTGCCTGTGTCGTGGCGTGCGCTTGGCATCCCAGTGGAAAATCACTCGTGTCTTGTGATCGAGCTAAAAAAGTTATAGCCTGGTCAGATTTTTAGAAATATAAAGAAATGTTGTACTTTGCCTTCTGGTGCTCTTGCCAGTGGTGATTACTGGAGTTGCCACAACTGTGATAGAGGTAACCAAATGCCAGGTTATGCTTTCAAGTTTTCTCTTCATGCTGCATCACTGCCACTGCTGAGTAGGATCTAGTTAACCCGGAATGTTTTTCTCCGGTGAATGGTGTATCCCCATGGTTTATTGACAGCACTGTCAGTTTTATGACAGCTGCCTTTTCCACGAGGGTGGGAAACGGGGTCGAGCTGGTGACAATGATGCCTAACTTAAAAAGAGTGAATTAGATTCTAATTAACTGGATCCTAGGCAGCTGAGGTGCACTGTTCGAGTACATAGTGTCAAGAAATTGGTTTCAGGGCACCAGGTCAGTAAAAAATCACACATTTTTTTGTGAATATTATTTTATCATTATGTGACAGCAACTTTAATACAAAAGTTTGCCTGTGTATATATATTTTGCCATCAAGAAAATAAGTTAAATAGAGTAGATGTGCACATTTGAGAATATGCCACAATAGGAACTGCATAATTAATTTCTATTTAAATATACCGTACACCCAATATTACTCTTCATTGAAACTTGTACACAATCTATTTACAGGAATGTTTGTACTGTATATGCAGTATATAAAATGTTGATTTATTTTTTATTTTTTTGCTTTATATTTATTGTAATTCATGATTACATACACCGTCCGTACCAGGCTACATTTACCATCTCCGGTGACATTTTTACTTGTGGGGGGAATACACCCAATTATTTGTTTTTCTCCGTGCTTATGTTGCCTTGTGGCGAGTTTCCCTAATTTTCACTCACTATGTCATCTGAACAAAACATGTGTATCCATCCCACTTGTCATTTACCCCACCACAGTAATAACTTTACATTATTTCTGCCTATTTTTATCCGATTATTATAATTCATTATTTGTTTCTATTTACGGAAAGCATTGTACAGTACACGCTACATCTTTAACTACCTTCAAAAGTACGGTTAATATTATGTATTTCTGGCACATGTTTCTGCACACTGCAAGTTGCTGTATAATCTTTGCTGTCCTAATTTCGTACACACACGTCTTCGACTGAAACTGTATGCTTTGTTTCAAATGTATAATTGTTTTATGATGTACAGTCTGAATGTTTTAAGATTATATTAACCTCCATTTCATTTGATAAAAAAATGAGCAGAATAATTTACACCCAAGTCAACTTGAATACAGAATGTTTCGTATTCTGGTCAGCATTGTGCTCTGGTCAATTTCTACCCTAGTCAAGGTTATAGAATACTGATAAGGATATTGACAAGATAAGAGTAGACTTAATTTGTAGATGTACACACATAGACTTTTATCATCTTTGTGTTTGTCTATAACCTAGTTAATTTATAATTTAGCCATTTTATACCATGAGCAAGTATGAAGGCTAAAATTAGCAGTTAATTGCCACCTGCAGAAAGAAGACCTCTAGTGCATTCAGTGTTAGATGAAACAAACCCCAGAAAATTTATGGAACACTTCAGATCTACAATAACATGAAATTTGGAAGATATAAAAACATTAATAAAATGCAGAGCTCTTTGTTCATATGTTTGAATTCTAGCTTCCTACAAAAATGCCATGAAAATAATTTTTTTTGATCTTCAAATGTAATTTTCAAACTTTAATTAAAAATGTCGACACCTAGAAAACTGCATTATTGAAAAAAAGTGGCCTATGGCTGTGTTCATAGGCACCTAAGAGCCAGTGGTCAGCCAACAAAACAGAATTTCCAAATCATTTAAAAGCACAAATAGGGAAATATTCAATGGCATTAAACTACAGGCCAGTATCCCTTGCATATTGTGCAAAGCAATGGAGAAGCTTATAAAAAAAGAGGCTAGTAGAACATCAAGAGAAGGGTCTTTATAACAACAACAGCATGGGTCTAGGATGGCAAATCTTGCCTCACAAACTTTATAGATTTCCCTGGACATAAGATGAGAAGGGTCGGCAGATTGTATATTTTATGACTTTCAGGAAGCCTGATACAGTACAGTACCCCCACGAGAGAGTAGTGCATAAAGTGGAGAAACAGGCAGGCGCACGCCAGGGAAGGAAAAAGTACATTACGTGTACCTCTAATAGATGTCAGTCACAGTGAGTGGAGAGACCTCATAAAGCAACTGATCCTCAGATCAAGTCCATTCCATCCAGTGGTCAACCCCATATACGCATTCATAAATTTTAACATGCTGTTCATTCAAAATAGGAATTTTCTCAAATATAAATTAATATTATTATATATTAGCAATACTGTATTGTGCATATTCAGCCATTGGTTAAGTGTTTCAGTTCCGTTGGGGATTATTTGTATTAGTACGTACAGCACATTTACAGCGTTGTGGTTTGAACAAATGTCGTCTTGTTTGAAAGGTGATCGAATGTCATCAGTTGAGAGTCACGTGCAAACCGTTCATTCATAAACGAGGTTTGGCAGGTGCATGGAATGGACTTTGGCCTTTGTTTATGAGGACGGGCTGCATAGTGGCAGGATGTTACCATTGCCTTTCCCATAAGGGTTAGAACTATGGCTGAACCTTTTCCTTATCTTTGTGAAGGACTTACCAGAGAGAATAGATTCCTTTCTTTCAGTGTTTACCAATGATGTAAAAATTATGCTGGGGATAAATCTGATGAAAGACTGCAAGACACTACAGGATGACTGCATCAAATTGAAATAAATGATGCTCAAGCTGCTACTATGGTGTAACTCGGGCAAGTACAAAACAATGAAGTTGGGTACTGGGAACAGGAGGCTGGACATATGGGAGAGGAAATATCCCTGGAATCATACAGAGAATATTACTTTTGGAGGGGGTGATATTACATAAGAATGCAAGAATATATACCCACATCAAATGAATATTATCAGCTGCATGTGAAAGGTTGGCCAACATAAGAACGTTATGAAGAAAGACTAATAGAGTTGAACATCAATGGAAAAGAGAAGAAATTGGAAAGACACAATGACCACATTCTTAATATCCAGAGGAATAGGGAGAACAGAAAAGGACAGACTATTTAGCATGGGTAGTACATGAACAAGGGGACACAGATGGGAATTAAGTACCCAAATGAGCCATAGAGACTTTAACAAAAATTTTGTATGTCAGGATAGTGAAAAAATGAAATGTGTTAAGAAGTGAAGTAGTGGAGGCAAACTCAATACTGTATACAGCTTTAAATGTAGATATGACAGAGCCCAATAGGCTCTAGAACCTATACCAAAGTTTTCTTTTGTAAACAAAGTGGTAGGCAGTTGGGACAAGCTAAGTGAGGTGGTGGTGGAGGCCAAAACTGTCAGTACAAGTAGTTTAAAAGTATTATGCAACAAAGAGTACTGGGAAGATGGGACACCACGAGCATAGCTCTCATTCTGTAACTACAATTGGGTAATAACCAGTTGATTTGTGGTTAAGAGGGAGGGCCATAGCTCCTTCCCTTCAAGTGCAACTAGGTGAGTACACACCCACCCACTCACCAACCTTTGTACACACACCCACCCACCCACTCATCAACCTTTGTGTACACACCCACCCACTCACCAACCTTTGTACACACCCACTCACCAGCTTGCTCATGCCCACCCCATCTCTCTGTCCATCCACTCATTTAACTGAATCATGAGTGCATTATATAGTAATTCAAAGGTTTGTCATTAATATATTTTCTGAGTTGAAGGTGATATTGAGGTGAAGGTAGGCGATTGGACTAAACACACTGGTCTAGACTTTTTTTAAGGTATGCTGAGAGAATGATACACACTATTAGAGTCAACAGTACATATTTTAATTGTATAATTGGCAAATTGGTGGTAGGAGACCACAGGAAATATGGCCTGGCTGGGTTATTATTAACATCTTTATTGACAAAATTAATATCAAATTTGGCCTAATTGGAGTAATCCGTTTTGGTCTTATTGCAGTGAATGTTTTAACAGTTTGTCAGGGAGCTTTCAGGCTGAATATTCTGGTAGTGACTTAGCCTCAGTAACTTGCCTCATATGCCTAAAACCACAGCAAACTATTGCATCATCATCATCAGCGTCGTGTTGCCTGGTTCGATTATACAAATACCTATTCATACAAAGTTCTTATAGCTTTTAATACTGCAGCTTTCAAATCTTTAGTCATTTCTTAATTCTTCTAAATCTGAAGTACAGTAATCATTTAATTTGTATGTTTCTAATAATTGGATTAGGTAGCCCAGTCACAATCTGTATTTTCTTTTTTCCAAGCATCATTGGTCAATGCTTTTCATTTCCAATACAGGATGGAATCCACACCAAATTTAGAAATTATTATCGTTGGCAAAATTCCATTTAATATTGCAAGGTACTGTGGACATTAATTGTGTATTAATGTATTTACAGTATTTAAAAAAACAGTATTTAAAGACTGTAGTGCACTTTGTCACTAAAAATTACACAAATGTTACTATGATTAATATTTGTTAACTATTATATCTATAGGCTAAATCCTGGTGCCATTTTATAGACAACCGTCTTCACTCACAATTCATACCATAGATTTTTGTTAAATGTTTTGCTTGCTATTTTGATTCCACTCTAAATACTAATAGCTTTGAGTAGCTGATGACCAGTGATTTTATCCTACATATACAATTTTTCTTTTTTAACAAATGAAGATGCATAATAATGTGCATATTGATATGCTGGATCAAATGGGTTGTGATGGCTATGTTACTCTGCAGACCTCAACAAGTAATAAACTAGTTGATCAGTCACTAGGGAGGCTTGGTCTTAGTCCAGCCTGCAAAAGTAAAAACATTTGAAAGAGATCACAGGTAAATCACCGATGTGGCATCTAGTTTCTTTGTATAATAGAAAATGTGATGGACTAGTTAGTATCTGCTCTCTGCCTTAGTGATGCAAGGACAAGTATAGCAGTAGTTGCTTATTTTGTGCAGAATTTGTATGAAAAAAAAGAGTAATTGCAAACAGTAACTATATTTAGGAACCAAGATTAATACTGGTACTTAATTAGGGTATGACAACTAGAGTATTGAGTGACCAGAGTACGAGCTAACTAGTGTGTGGAACGTAAGAGTACAGTACATGTTGATTTGATATGATTCGTTGACCAGAACACAAAGCAAATTATTTGGAGTGGCAATAGATGGAATAAAAAAGGAAGTCATATAGATCATATAGTCTTAAACGATTCTTAGCGGCAGGGGATCGTATTCCAGGGACCTGCCCGAAACGCTATGCATACTAGTGGCTGTACAAGAATGTAACAACTCTTGTACATATCTCAAAAAAAGAAAGAAAAAAAAAAGAAGGTATTTGTTAAGTGACTTGAGAATACACCAAGAAACCCAGTAACCCTGTCGTAGCTCAGTCGATTAAGGCAGTGTCTGGATGCTCTCGGATGCAGGTTCGAATCCTCGTCACGGCCCTTGGGGATTTGTTCACCAAGAAACAATGGATGAGATTAATATTTGTGCTAAAAAAACAAAATATTACAAGAAGTGCAATAATGTAAAGTTATTGATTGCATGCTATGTTAATAATGCTAATCTGATGTTAAGGTGGCAGTTAAGTTGTTAGACAGTTCCCAGTAATGAATCAAGTCCAAAGTCCTTGCATAAAAAAAATTTGTTTGTACTGTATTGTATAGTTTTTTTCTATGGAAAGCCCAGTCAGCTCCCCGAAGTTATCCAAACTGACATGTGCTATATTAATTTGTGGTCATCAGTCACAGCAGTTCTTATGTTTACCGGGGACCACGAGCCAGAATCTGGCCCCCTTCAGAGAGGTGCAGGGAGCAATGGCCTATGAGCACTTTACATTTAAAGTATGTCATAATTGCCATCGACCAGAGAAGGACCCAGAAAGGTAGGCAAATCAAAACAGACCACTGTCTGCTTAACCTGGGTGTTCTTCATCCAAAAAGATCAAAATAACTCTTCTATAAGTTATTAGTTATTTCCCCCCCATCACTTCCCCAGCAGGAGGGAGGGGGAGCTGGCAGTCCCACCACTCCAGTCCTTGAACTGATGTACTGGTGGTCAGATCAGTCACCTCTGGCCTCACGTTCCCATTCTGGATTTTTGCCCTGTGTGGTTGCTCCAGCTGTGTGTGTGTGGCGTGGTGGCCAGATGTCTTAGTGTACAGGAGCAGCATGCGCCTAGGGTGACCTTCCCTAGGTACTTTGCGAGTACTGCCCTTACATGTCAGGGTTATCTTCCTTGGGGCATTCGGGAATGACTCCCCGTTTGAGGACTTCATTTCTTGATGTTGTTTTTGCCCTTGGGGTGCGTCGGGGGTGTAGGGCTTTCCGTCTTGCCCCGGCTAGGGGAGTGTTATTGGCTGGGTAGGGTGCACTTCGGCTGGCGCAGCTAGCTTTACTTCAACGCAACGGTTGACTGCATTTCATTCACTCTCGCTAACAAGCGAGTGCTAGTTGCATGAAGTGTTGCTTGTTGGGTTTGTTTCTAGGGGAGTTATTATGATCTTTTAGGATGTACAGGTTAACCAGACAATGGCCTATTTCGATTCGCCTGCCTTTCTGGGTCCTTTCCTGGTTGATGGCAATTATGACATACAGTACTTGATATGTAAGTGCTCATAGGCCATTGCTCCCTGCACCTCTCTGAAGGGGGCCAGGTTCTGGCTCGTGGTTCCTGGTTAGCATAAGGACTCGTGTGACTGATGACCCCAAACTAATATAGCACACATCAGTTCAGGTAGCTTCAGGAAGCTGACAGGGCTCACCCAGAAAATAGTGTTTGATTACATTTAATGCTGGTTATTTATTTTTAAATAATAGTCTTTTAATCTTGTGAAATCTACATTGTATATCATGTTGATATATAATGGACAGCTATATATCCTTAGGAAGAACAAAAGTACTGAAGAGCTGGGGGAGGGGGGTTAGAAGAACAGATTTGAATAGACAAAATTATGATTTATTTTCTTTATTTTTAAAGAGCCAAGACTTTAGTACATCAAAAGTGATGCATCAGACATAAGATTACTTGAATGCTACCGACACGTGAGTCAGGAAAGTATGTAGACTGCATGTGCAGTATTTTATAGGAAATTTAACACGTGGGCATTTGCTGTTTTCAAGAGTGGCCATACCTGGACTCGAGAAACCCAGTGTGAGGTAAAGTATACCATACACTTTCAGTAGGTAACTGAAGGTGTAAACTCCTACAGAATTTGATAAGTTGTCAGTAAACTGGATGACTAGAAAGATTTTGTTGATTTTGTCTGCTAGTTGTCAAATCTACAGAAATGTGTGCAGATTACAGCATAGCAAAGTACATGTACTGTACTGTGGTTGAGAGGAATGCTTTGTTATCCTCCTTTCTGCTGAGTCCAGAAGTCTTCACAATACTGTATTACTTTGGTTCAATTTCACTCGTATATGAATAGTTTGTACTTTGTATTATGCAAATTTTTATATTGTCACACATTATTTGTACATTACCTGGCTGTTAGTAGTAAATTTGCATAGAAATACTTAAATGTTTGTGATTGGCAAATGATTACTTTAATGTCATATCCAAAATGTGTTTTCTGGAGGAGCCACTGGGGCTCCTCCGGAAAGAGGCATTTTATTATATACAATGTTGGGTTTTTTAAAATTACGTAAATATTGAATATATTTTTAATGAATTTGTAAAATGTACTGTGAAATAAATTTTTCATGTAATTTCTCTTTGTACAATCATTTATCATTGTGGGTAAGATTAGGTGGAAGAGCATTAGTTCACAAGTGAGGTCAGTGTCAAGCTGTATTAAGTAAGGCTCACATTCTTACTTGTGGTGTAAGGTCGACTATAAGAATGGTTCAAGAATACGCCTTATTTAAATTTGCATTCTAGACATGTCATTAAAGCATACAGTAATTATTTTGTATCTGTAATTGAACAATTCAATGCATCAAGGTCAGTGTCCTGATAATTGGACCGTTGGCAGTCACAGTGATGGCCAAATCATTAGATATTTACTAACCAACATGTAACTCAAAACTGGGTAATGAATAATACTTCTTGTGCCTTTAAGTACTGACCACTACCACAAATTTCCAATTGATATGCAAGACAAGACTAAGGCTGTAACTTTTGTTGACAAATGTTAATACAGTAATTAAATGCTTTAATGTGTATCAAGGTAAGTCATCCTCCTCAAACCAATTTATTTTTACAACTATTTAATTTATAATGTAGAGTATAGTGTGTGTGTTATGGAGTATTATTAATTTTTTTGTGATTAAACTTTAACAGTTTTTATTTAAGAATTGGATGTGTCTCGTTTGAAATTCTGTAGCTACATCTCTATCATTTAATTAAGAAACCCTTACAGCTCTGTTAGAACTTAAATTCTGTTATAAAATGCCTGAGATTTATGGAAAAAATTAAATAATTTATAATATAGAGTTAATTCGATCATTACTTTTGCATATTTCTTTGTATTTAATGAATACAGAAATTGTAATTATAATTGTTTTGTACATTAAACATTGTTTACATGGTTTACAGAATTTTTTGTTGTTGTAAATTAAGCTTGGTATCGCTGAACATTTGCTGAAACCTTACGGTAGTTTTAGCCAGGGACTCGCATGGTCGTTTCTCACCATGTCTTAACTATTAAGTTAGTCAAGGTTTGGAAGGCTTTTGTTATACTTTCTTCACCTTTGTATATATTATAATGAACTTTACTTTTCTAATATTCCTTGTTTATTATTTAATCTTAATTTACAGTTTCTCAACATACCAGTAATTACAGTATTTTTCTATTACTGTATATAGATGAAGACTGAATTACTGTACTGATCTTAGAGAGGAGTAGAACTGCCATTAGAGTTATTGTAATGTACAATATTCATACAATACTACAAATGATATGTTGGGAGACCTTGGGCTCTATTATAATTGTGACTAAGCAAGCAAAAGATTATACTGTATTCTTTGGAAAGATTATATTTGACGGTTGCACACTCCCAGCCTCGGTTATTCTTGACGGTGTCAAATGCTCTGCTTAGTATTCCCTCTCTTCCATGTGCCGGTTCAGTATTTGCTGGACGCTTTGTCATGGGGCTGTCACCAGTTAGTAGTGTGGTGTTATTTTGTTCCCTGTATGGCAATTCTGGACATGTTAAGATTATTTGACTCGGTTATCTGCATTAATTGCTTAATCCAAGATGAATCAGTCCATCCTCGAGCACAAGGATGCTGTGTGTTTGCTGCTAGCTCATATTCTGGTGGCACATTAGTCCTCCTCTTGCTGCTTTTTCCCACTTTAGGGGTTGACACTGCCCCTTTTCATTAGTATTTGCTTCAGCAGTATATGTACAGTACTAAAATTGTAACAATACAGAGGATTAGCATTGTTCCCTGTGCAAGAATGTCACATGACTCCGTGTAGTGTTCCATATCTCTGGGCACCTAGTGGGAAGCCTTTGGATGCATCTGTTTGCTGTGGTATCAGCCATCTCTCTACTTGCCTTCTTGCTGGGGTGTTGACTGGTTTTCTAGCACATTTCCTGCTGCTGCAACAACTTCATGGTTGGTTTTTGAGGCATTCTCCTGTAGTCTTACTAGAGTTCCCCTCTTTGTGTTGACAAAGTTCCCCTCTTTGTTCTTTCACTGCTCTCACTCCTTTGCTGGCGAGCTGGGGGTTTGCTTGCATCATTTGTCGATTGTGCCTTCTTCCAGAAATTGAAGATGAGACATTCATAATTCTATCCATAACTGTTGAAGGGATAGTTGGTTAGCTACTACAGATTACAAACTTTAAGATGTCTAATATTACACTAAAGTTATTAATGTAAGAACAATTTTTAAAGTTAATTAGATACTTGCAGCTTTTCTTCAAAGTTATCAATGTTTCTAATTTATGCTGATTGCACTTTTAATTTCTTAAAAAAAAAGGTGTTACAAAATTTTAAGAGGGGCATTCATTACGTAAAAGTTGAAATTGGGATGCATACAATTACTGAAAGGAATAAAAGAACTGAGAAACACACACACACAATTTTAGAAATGTAAAAATGAGGCCAGCAAAATTCAAGAGTTTATAATGTGAAAATGACAGATCACGTAATGGTGCTATATGATGACTGAATTGGCATGGAATAATAATATATGTCTGTCTTCCAAGGTGAAGTCTCCTGGGATTGCCGTGTCCCTCTGACTCTTAAAGGCTCTTCCATGACTTCTTCCTGGTGGCCAAAGGTTCACTGGATTTTCTTACTTCCATTGATACTATGATTTTCAACAGTTAATGTTCCTCTGCAGTACTTTGTGACTTGTATTATTTTAGCTTCAACAGTCTCTTCTTTTGTTTTTATCCTGCACATGCATAATTCTTTTTTGCTCATAAGCTTGTTATTCCTTGTCAGAGATTATTTACAAGTTTAATTTTTCCATAAACAGGTTTTGTGTTTGTGATTTTATGTATAAATTTTTAACTTTATACAATGGAAATATAGTACCTTGCTTTGTATGATAACACCTCAATTCAAGATGATTATGTATTCTGGTGACAGTTTTATAATGGTACACTGGTAAATTATATTTCTACTGGGGACACATTTTACCCAATAAGCTAGAATTCTCAGCCCATAGTTTTCAAGGATGCTGTGCACATCCCTGTAATTAATGTGATTTTATCATATTTAATGTGAAAACCAACAAAAAATTACCAGCTGAGCTCAATGATCCTCCTAACATTTTAAGTAGTTTTATTAAATATTTAACATTTGATTGTTACATGAAATATTTAGCTTTTATTATATTATTTCCTTTGCACATTATGTAGTTCTTGCTGTTGTTATATTGTTTTAAGTTAGTCTAGTCTTGTTTTAAGTTAGACACTGAAGACTACCGAGTGTCCAATGTGCAAGTCTCCTAGTCATCCCCATCTCTCATTCTAAGTAAAACAATATTTGTTATTGATCATAATGGTGTACAAGAATGTTAGTGTGGCTACAGTTTAATTTTACCTGTGATTTTCACTTACTGCTGTAAACTTCAAAGAGTAGATAATATAATTTTATATGGTCTTTCCCATTAACATTAGATAGCAGACCTGCCCAAAGCACTGTCTAAATGTTTAAATGCACTCTTGAGCATGATGCATTTACAAGAAAAATGTATTTTTAATAGCAAACAATATAACTTGCATATGGAATTGCCTCAAAATTTGATGGACTATATTCTTTGGGGCTTTGCTAACTTTGCTCCATATTATAATTTTGGAAAATGATCATTGTTGTTGTGTGCGCATTACCAGTCTGTATACAATGCTCAAAATGTGCATCTATGGCATGGGGGAATGAAGGGTATTGCTTAATAGCAAACGTTTTCATATTATTTAATGTTTCTTGTTAAACATTTAAGCTAATGAATTATGCATTGCATGATAGACTAACTATAATCTAGATGTATATGTAAGAACTTTCGTAATTTTTTTTTTTTTTTAGATAATGATTGTCATCTAACTCGATACAACTGAAATTGTACAGTATATTTTTTTGTTGCTCAAGCTATTTTACTTGAAGAGCACAGTCTATAAATTAATAAATCTGAGAAATTGCCCCCATCAAAGATGTTCACTTAGGCTTCCTCTTTTCTAAATTTTCCTATAAAACTGTAATGCCCTTAAAAATACCTGAAATATTATTGATAATAAAATGAAATATGCTGTATATTGTTTTGACTCACAGAGCCTATATGTGCCACACAATTTACTTGGTACATATGTATATAATTAATTAAAATGTTCCCTTCTTTAAGCAGCAAGAGGAATTAAACTCACCAAATCTTGATGATGTGCAAGTGTAGTCTGTAAAGTTTCTCTAAAGTATCCTCTTATCCAAAGGGACGACGTATAATTAACCGATGTACAGTATTGCGTGTTAGTTTAACGTCGCCCACATAGCTGCAGTTTTGTTTGAATGAGTGTCCAAGCCAGGACATGATGGGGGGGAGGGGATGTTTGCACTGGCATGGGCAAATACTGTCGGCGCTTGATAACATGAATCATATAGGGCTCACCTCTACTTCAGTTAATCGAACATTTGACTTTGCCAAATTTCTTACCTGGAATGTCCAAAAATACTAAGTCATTGGTCATGAGTTTCCTCTACTGAACCAGTGAGCTCTTCAATTATTTTAAGCTCAGTATTTGAATGCTGCTCTGCAGGAATAATATAATTTACTACAATTCCACTTGCAATAACTTTAAACATTTAACTGAATAGCCTATAAACATGCTAGTTAATGAGCAAGTCGGCTTTGTTTTATGGTAAGAACTTGTCTCTCTGAACCGGAATTGGTACATTGGAATCATTGTGTCAGCTCAACACTATAGTAAGCCAAGTAGCAGCTTAGAGCCCATGCAGAAACATTTCTATACTGTACAGTACTTCCAGTGTCTGAAGCTCTGAGAAGTTAGTTGGTCAGAATTCCTAATAGACAGTTCCATGTAAATATCAAAGACCATATATAACTCAAGCATAATAGAAACAAATTACACTGCTTAAGATTTGAAATAACTTTGTCATAATTCTCCAGAGATGCCATGTGTTGCATTTCTATGCAGTATGTTTTGCTTCAAGTTTACGAACAAGTGTATACTTAACTAATCTTGTAGGAGCATCACCAAATGATCAGTTCGTTTCTTGGAATCAACTCGTAGGCAAGTATATCCTTTATATATAATTCTTTGTGTCTGGCAATATTCATGAACTTTTTGCATTGATAACATGCTTTAGGTAGAAACTTTAGCAGTAGTCATTGCTTTCAAATGTGCATGAGTCGTCAGAGTTTGGTAATTTCATTCTTGAAAATTTTCATTCAACCTTACTTTCTGGTCAGACTATCGCTAGTGTTTAAAATTGGCCCTTAATTCCTCATTTTCAGTTGTTGGAGATGCAGGAAACCAGGAATTTAAAAACAACACTATAATATACTAAAAATGATATTCTAGCCAAAATTAAATGCTGTATGGCAAATATATATATATCTACTGGTTAAGAGCGAGTTATGGCTCACAGAAAGCAGAGTGGTGTTCAAGAGGATTGCAGATACCTTAACAGTGTTGAGATGAACTATCAGTCGTATGTATTTCACCTCTAATGAGGTATTGGTTGCAACTCTGATCACAAAGTCCTTCAGAGTAATTTTCCATAGAGATGTAGGAATGCCAAATTCCCAACCAACCTTTACCTAATGAGCTGGTTGCAGTGTAAGAGTTCCACTTCCTGTAACTTTCTGAATCGACTTATCAGCCATCTCTTGTTGAAGGTGGGCCATGAGCGTTATTTATGAGTCGAATTCTGCCTCACTGCATATATTTGGAGTTGCAAATTACGACTTACTATACCGAAAATATGATAAATTAGTGAAAACGACGATGGGTCAAATTTTACCCAAATCCCTCTACAGTTTTCAAAATATAGGAAATATCGGAAATCTGACTCATGAGCGTTATTTTTTAGCAGAATTCTGGCTCACTGCACATATTTAGAGTTTAAAATTACGCCTTGTTATACCGGAAATATGGTAATTACTGAAAACGGCGATGGGTCAAATTTTACCCAAACCCCCCTGTAATTTTCAAAATATCTGTAAACTCAGAAATTTGACTCCTGTGCGTCATTTTGGAGCCGAATGCTGACTCTCTGCACCCATTTTCAGTTTCAAATTACGACTTTTTATACCGAAAATATGCCAATTACTGAAAACGGCGATGGATCAAATTTTACCCAAATCCCCTGCAGTTTTCAAAATATCTGAAATGTTGGAAATTTGACTCCTGAGAGTCATTTTTGAGCCAAATTCTGACTCTCTGCACCTATTTTCAGTTTCAAATTACGACTTTTTATACCGAAAATATGCTAATTACTGAAAACGGCAAAGGGTCATATTTTACCCAAATCCCCCTGCAGTTTTCAAAATATCTGAAATGTCGGAAATTTGACTCCTGAGCGTCATTTTTGAGCCGAATTCTGGCTCTCTGGACCTATTTTCAGTTTCAAATTACGACTTTTTATACCGAAAATATGCCAATTACTGAAAACGGCGAAGGGTCAAATTTTACCCGAACCCCCCCTGCAGTTTTCAAAATATCGGAAATATCGAAAACGGTCCAGACCGCTGGACTTGAGTCGAGGACGGGTTGAGCAACGGCGTCCGCCGTCCGTTATGATAGAAAACGGAGTGTGATGTTCCCACTTTCGCAGACACTATACAAGAAAACTAAGCATGGAATCATCGTAAGTGTATTTAGGAATGATAATGATTCTTACCAGTGGGAGAAAAATGGACGGCACACGTGACACTGGACACTGCCCCCAGTACTACCAACAGCTGGACACTGCCCACAGTGCTACCAACAGCTGGACACTGCCCCCAGTACTACCAACAGCTGGACACTGCCCACAGTGCTACCAACAGCTGGACACTGCCCACAGTGCTACCAACAGCTGGACACTGCCCACAGTACTACCAACAGCTGGACACTGCCCACAGTGCTACCAACAGCTGGACACTGCCCACAGTACTACCAACAGCTGGACACTGCCCACAGTACTATCAACAGCTGGACACTGTCCACAGTACTACCAACAGCTGGACACTGTCCACAGTACTACCAACAGCTGGACACTGCCCGCAGTGCTACCAACAGCTGGACACTGTCCACAGTACTACCAACAGCTGGACACTGCCCACAGTACTACCAACAGCTGGACACTGCCCGCAGTGCTACCAACAGCTGGACACTGCCCACAGTATCACCAACAGCTGGACACTGCCCGCAGCGGGACACTGCCCACAGCGGGACACTGCCCGCAGTGGGACACTGCCCGCAGCGGGACACTGCCCGCAGCGGGACACTGCCCGCAGCGGGACACTGCCCACAGCGGGACACTGCCCACAACTGGAACTGCCCACAACTGGACACTGCCCATAACTGGACACTGCCCACAACTGGACACTGCCCACAACTGGACACTGCCCACAACTGGACACTGGCACTGTATCACCGCAAGACAGCACCTAAACAACGTGTTCCCTACTCATGAGAGGCGCAGGTTAAGAGGCCCAGATGAGTGCCATACGGACAATTACACGTCTAGCAGCCATGATTGTTCACTTTCACCATCACACACTGTAATTTAAGCATCACCACAATCTCAGTGTTACCACCACTACCACCATACGCTGTCACCATCGCCACACACACTACTACCACTACCAGACATTGTCACCATCATCCTCATACAATATCATCACCACCACACACTGAATTACCACTGGTTGTTCAATTACTCTCAACCTGATTAATTTTTCCATCACTTTACAATTAATGCTTATCAATGATATCCTGTTTGTCCCATTTTTTAAAATAATAGGACTACGTTTGTATTTTTTTTATTATTCTGGGAGGTTTCCAGTTTCAAGTGTTTTATTGAAAAGTTTCCATGGTGGTGATAAGGGGGTTCAGCAACCTCCTTCAACATCCATGGTAATGTTAAGTCTGGAGCTACTGATTTTGCAACGTCTAATTTCTTCAGGTGTTCATAACTCTCTTCGCAGCGACTACTTTGTCATACAATGTTACCTCGGACGTACATAGCATCAACATGGGTTCAGGGATGGCAAGTCCTGCCTCACAGGATTAGTTGAATTATACGACCAGGCAACAAAAATCAGGCAAGAAAGAGAAGGGTGGGCAGACTGCATATTTTTGGATTGCCTGAAAGCCTTTGATACAGTACCACACAAGAGGCTAGTGAAAAAGCTGGAGGATGCAGGCTGGAGTGAAAGGGAAGGTACTCCACTGGATAAAGGAGTACCTAAGCAACAGTAGACAACGAGTCAATGTGAGGGGTGAGGTCTCAGATTGGCGAGACGTTACGAGTGGAGTCCCGCAGGGGTCAGTCCTTGGACCTATACTGTTTTTGATATATGTAAATGATCTCCCAGAGGGTATAGACTCTTTTCTCTCAATGTTTGCCGACGATGCAAAAATTATGAGGAGGACTGAAACAGAGGATGATAGTAGGAGGCTACAAGATGACCTAGACAGACTGAGTGAATGGTCCAACAAATGGCTGTTAAAGTTCAACCCGAGTAAATGCAAAGTAATGAAACTAGGCGATGGAAACAGGAGGGCAGACACAGGATACAGAATAGGAGATGAAGTACTTCATGAAACGGACAGAGAGAAAGATCTAGGAGTTGATATCACACCAAACCTGTCTCCTGAAGCCCACATAAAAAGAATAACGTCTGCGGCATATGCGAGGCTGGCTAACATCAGAACAGCGTTCAGGAACCTGTGTAAGGAATCATTCAGAATCTTGTACACCACATATGTAAGACCAATCCTGGAGTATGCGGCCCCAGCATGGAGCCCGTACCTTGTCAAGCACAAGACGAATCTGGAAAAAGTTCAAAGGTATGCCACTAGGTAAGTCCCAGAACTAAGAGGCATGAATTACGAGGAAAGGCTGAGGGAAAAGCACCTTACGACACTGGAAGACAGAAGAGTAAGGGGAGACATGATCACTACCTACAAAATCCTCAGGGAAATCGACCGGGTAGACAAGGATTAACTATTCAACACTGATAGTACGTGAACAAGGGGACACAGGTGGAAACTGAGCACCCACAAGAGCCACAGGGACGTTAGAAAG